TCTAACAACAATTGGGTAATCTACAACCGTGGGCTATGAATTGGGCTGCTAACCTCTGAGTGAGTAAGAAGTCTGAAATCGGCAGCTGCTCTGTGGGGGACAGAAAAGAGACTTCCTGCTGCACAAAGCTTTGCAGCCTTGAAAACCATAATGCGTAGCTCCACTTTGCCCTCGAGGGCTACAGTAGGGTGAAAATGAGTCAGAATCAATTCAATGACAGATTGGAGTTTGGAATTTTGGAAGCTTATAGGTCTGACCATATGAAGTACGGGAATATACTACACTGGACTGAAACACCAGTATATACTACCATATGCTGATGCTCACAGGCTGAAAAGTAGCAGAAGTAGTGCACAAAGCTAGACAATCATCTTCTGCACGTGAATTCTTAAAATCTGTTAAATGCCTGTACATATCATCTTTAACTAATTTAAAACATGTCATAGAGAAAGAATATCATGAACAATATGAGTACTACTAGGAATTAACTACAGTATATAACGCCAACAGGAATAGAACAATATATTTTAATGCTTGATCATAGCAGATACTGAGCAGTGTCTCACCTACATCCCTTCTGCCTACTTTGGAATCACCTGCAACATGCATATTTGTCTAACAGCAATAGGCAAATCTTTCTGGCCATGCACAACATTAGACCAAGAAGGAGTCGATACAGAAGCTCTGGAGCGATACTGTGCCAAAGAGAAATGCAAACAAAGATAAGTGGGAGTCAATACAACAGCAGGATTAAAGATCAGCGAACATAACTGTACCCGCTTATTTAACACATCTTCTATCACTTTGCTTTCTCATGTGTCTCACTTCACCAGTTTCTCACTAGACCTCAATAGATTACCTACTTGTAAGTAAACTGCTTACATCCAAATCTTATTCTCAGGGTAATGCTATAAAGGATGATATAAGTACCATAAATGGAAAGGCATATGAAAATCCTAAATGAAAAAAGTCAACATCAAAATGTCAAATCTCCAAAATCTAAATTCAAAACGCTGTAATGACTTGAAGTGTGCCTACCACAAAGAAGATCAGGTCCTAGCCCTGGAGGCCCTTGAACCGGTGAATTTGCAATCAGGTTTACTACTGCAATAAGATTGGCAAGAGGTCATACTGGAGGAGGGTGGGTCCTAATACTCTATGACTTCTGACCTTATAGGGAGAAAAGAAATATGGCTATATGGCAGTAAAATTAAAAACTAGCCCTGGAGTCACTCAAAATTCTTTTCTGTGTTTTACTAAAATTCATACATTTGCACATACGGCAATAATTTCAGAATAAACCTTTCTCTTAAGGATATCTTTTTTGTTTCAAATCTAGAGTAAATAATTTTCTTCAAGTGCATAGTGAGATGTATGGGAGGCTTGCTGGTATAAGCATGATGTGTCTATTAAGAATCTTCTAAGTCACAACATAAAGTTTAAGTTGGAAAGCAGGATCGGGCTTTCTAAAGCTTCTGAGCAGTTATTTAAGATAAAGCTATTTTTCTCGAGTTGCCTGGAGCAAAAGACAAAAAAATAAACCGAAGATTAAAAATGGGAATTAATCTGGAGCACTAATTGCTTACTCAAACCATAGCCTCAATTCTCCTGAGAACAAACAAACTAGATGGTGCCTGGAGACCACTTCCAACTGGTCTCAGATAGAATATACTATAGACACTAGAGTAAGCACTCACTGAGACCATTGCCCTTCAGATATTCTTTAAACATTGCACTGAAATTATTCCCTACTTTAAGAAAAGAAATAATCTACATGAAAACAAAAGGTCATCTTTTACCATAGGAAAAGATGAGGAGCTTAGAGGAGGAAAGACAAAAACTAGATTACTGGAAACATTATAACCAAATGGGACACTGAAACAACATGAAAGTGAATACCAATTGTTGAATGTGCTGCATATACATTCACCAAAACACAACATGAACATTTTTAAAAGAATGTTTTACACAGAAACAGTAACTAATTCAAACTAACTTAAACAAAGAATACTTATATCTCATTTAATATAGTTAAAAGAATGTCAAAGAGCACTCGTCACAGGTAAAAACATGAGGCTAACTAATTGGTGGACATTTAGGGTTCTATGTTTATTAGCTTATAATACCACCAGAGCAGTATATAATTAAATAAATTAAGTGACATTTTAGAGTCCCTTCTAAACCTAAAATTCTCTTCTGTTTTTCTCTCTCTCTCTCTCTCTCTCTCTCTCTCTCTCTCTCTCTCTCTCTCTCTCGCCCTTTAAACCTCCTTGAAGCCAGCCATTAGCAGGGACCTGACAAGCAGTGATCAGGATGACTTTTAGTAAAAATGTCAAACAGATACAACCAAAGAAGTATAGCTACTATGATATCTCTGAACTCTCAATACATCTCATCCCAATGTAGAAAAAAAAAACTCACAGCAGTTACATGATACTAAAAGAGTTACCTGTCATTTCTCCTGTTACTAGGGAGAAAATACGAAGCAGAGCTAAAATGTCAGAGGAAAGACATCTACAAATTAACTACTATCTACAGTCATTGTGAAAATGATTTAATATTCTCTTTTGTACCAAAATACTGTTTTATTTCTTTAGAATGCAAATATACAATCAGGCTAGAAGTATTGTTACACTGACACAGTTATTTCAAAATTCTTATCATTCTAAGAATTGAAGACTATTAAGACGTCTTAATGTCTTTAATCTGGCAACATGGTCAGAACAGTATAAAGGAGAATATTTGTGTAGAAAAAAATATCAATTACCTATTGTATTTGCACCCAGTTCTAGGCCAGGAGAAGGATTTGTTAAAATCAGCTGAAAATTTTCATCTCCTTCTGGAATGTCATCATCCAGAATCATAATGTCAACATTCTTATACCTTTCTCCATCAGCAAAATGAAGAATCTAGTCAAAAAGGTAAATATAGACAGTATTACATATTACAGCATGACATATTAAATCACCCTCAGAGTTTTATGGAATGCTTGGAAATATATATAACCTAGTTAAGAGTTTGAAGAGTAAACTATTTACAAGACATTTCCTCTTTATACAATAATTTTTACATTAAATTGAAAATATTAGTTAAAAAAAAAAAAAAGAAATGGGGAGATATGGGCCAGACAGTGTCTCCCCTCTAGAGCTCTCCCTGCCAAAGCTAAAAACCAACAGGTACACACCTGAATTCTAGAAAAATCCCAATAGTTCAGGAATATTTTGAGTTTGGTTCCAAACAGAATTCTGCTAAGTATTCAGAGAAGAGCTGTTACAATTCTACACAAATTATTCCAAAACATACAAAGGGACAGAAAATGCCCAAATTCATTCTATGGAGCCACCATAACCCTGATACCCAAACCAGGCACAGACAACACAAAGATAGAGAACTGTAGACTGATACCCCTTATGAACATAGATACAAAAATTCTCAACAAAATCTTGGCCAATTGAATCCAACAACATATATAAAAAGTAATATATCATGACCAAGTGGGGTTCGTACCAGGGATGCGAGGATGGTTCAACATTCAAGAAACAATTAATGTAACCCATTACATAAGCAAGATAAAGGATAAGAACCACAAGACCATATCAATTGATGTAGAAAAAGCATTTGACAATATCCAACACCTAATAAAAGCACTTAATAAGATAAGAATAGAAGGGAAATTCTTCAACACAATAAAGTCCATATATGAAAAACCAATAGCCTATATCACATTCAATGGGGAAAAGCTGAAAACATTCCCACTGAAAACAGGAAGCTGACAAGGATGTCCCTATCCCCATCCTCATTTAACGCTGTGCTGGAAGTCTTAGCCAGAACCAGAACCTAACAACAAGAAATAAAAGGAGTATAATCCAGCAAAGAAGTGCAACTCACCATTTGCTGATGACATGATTTTATAGACAGAGAGCAAGCATCAAGTTCTCCTCAATGGTCTTGTTGTAAACCATACAAAGAAAATGACAGAACATAAATACAAGGAACCAAAAGAGAGCTTCCCGATCCAAATCCAAACATCATTCTTTAAAGAAATAAAAAATCTAATTACCAACTTCATATGGAGAGGGAAGAAGGC